GGGGAAGGGGACTCACCCCCGGGGCCGCCGCCGCTCCTGCTCCTGCCCCAGCCCCCCCAGGCGGGGGTCGCGGCTCGCCAGGTCCGCCAGGTTCTGCGGGGGGGAAGGGGCCGGGTGGGCGGCTCTGGGCGGTCCCCGCGGACCCCCCCGGACCCCCGGGGGTCCCCCCCGCCCCCCGTACCTGCAGCAGGGCCGTGGTGCCGCGGTCGCCCTGCAGGAGCCGCCCGTAGAGCAGCAGCCACTGGCTCACCAGGCGCAGGATCTTGCGGCGCTTGAGCAGCGCGAAGGCGGCTTTGTCCTGCTCCGAACCCTCCAGCGGCTCCGAGCGGAACCTGCCGCCAGTCAAGGGCACCACGAGGAGCGGGGACCCCCGGGGATGTGCCCCCCGGGAGGTGGGGGGGGGGTGCCCTCCCTTGGGGGAGTCGTGCGGGGACAGGAGGGGAAGGGTTCAGGGGACCGCGGGATGAGCAGGGTGGGGAAAGAGCTCGGGGGTCATCGAGGGCAACCCGTGACCAACCCCAGCCTGGCACCCAGACCTTGGCACTGAGGGACCCAACCCCAGCCTGGCACCCACACCTTGGCACCCAGATCATGGCACCCAGGGACCCAACCCCAGCCTGGCACCCAGACACACATCCACTGACCCAAGACACCCTGTCACCCAGACCATGGCACTGAGGGACCCAACCCCAGCCTGGCACCCAGACCATGGCACCCAGAGACACCTCCAGTGACCAACCCACCCTGGCACCCAGACCTTGGCACCCAGGGACACATCCAGAGACCAACCCCCCCTGGCACCCAGTGACACACCCAGTGACCCAAGCCCACCCTGGCACCCAGGGACCAACCCCACCCTGGCACCCAGTGACACACCTAGTGATCCAAGCCCACCTTGGCACCCAGACCTTGGCACCCAGTGACCCAAGCCCAGCCTGGCACTCAGAGATATCTCCAGTGATCAACCCCACCCTGGCACCCAGATCATGGCACCCAGTGACACATCGAGGGACCCAACCCCACCCTGACACCCAGAGACACATCCACTGACCCAGCCCACCCTGTCACCCAGACCTTGGCACCCAGAGACACGTCCAGGGACCAACCCCAGCCTGTCACTCAGAGATACCTCCAGTGACCAACCCCAGCCTGTCACCCCCTGTGCCCCTGAGCCCCCCAAAAAGAGGATTTGGGGTTCCTCCAGCAACCCCCTGGTGCCCTGTCACCCCCCCCGGGGGGGGTGTGGTTGGATCCCAGTCCCCCCAGTTGCGGGTGCCGAAGGATACTGGTGCAGCAGAGCCCTGCAGAGCTGCGAGCTGGGCATGAACACGGTGTAGGTGAGCAGGAAATCCCCCAGCAGCGTGTCTGTGAGGGGACAGGGACACTGTCACATCCCCTCGGGCCACTGTCACACCCCCCGGGGGGACACGGTGACCCTGGGGATGGGGGGGACACGGTCTGGCAGTGGGAAGGGTCCCCCCTTCCCCGCACCCCCACGGGGGGCATTTGTTGTTCCCAAAGCCCGGGGAAAGGGGTTGGAGCTTTGGGCAGGGATGGAAATCCCAGGGATTGGCAGGGAGGCGGCTCCAAGGATTTGTGACCCTCTGGGGACACCTCCTGGTTCCCCGAGACACCTTCTGGTTCCCTCAGACACCTCCTGGTCCCTGAGACACCTCCTGGTTCCCTCCTGGTTCCCCAGGACACCTTCTGGTCCCCTGAGACACCTCCTGGTTCCTCGGGACACCTCCTGGTTCCCTGAGACACCTCCTGGTTCCCTTGGACACCTCCTGGTTCCCCGAGACACCTCCTGGTTCCCTGAGACACCTCCTGGTTCCCTGAGACACCTCCTGGTTCCCCAGGACACCTCCTGGTTCCTGAGACACCTCCTGGTTCCTGAGACACCTCCTGGTTCCTCAGGACACCTCCTGGTTCCTCAGGACACCTCCTGGTTCCCTGGGACACCTCCTGGTTCTCTGAGACACCTCCTGGTTCCCCAGGACACCTCCTGGTTCCCTGAGACACCTCCTGGTTCC